TTATTATTATTATTATTATTATTATTATTATTATTATTATTATTATTATTATTATTATTATTATTATTATTATTATTATTAGCACGGGTGCTGGGGCTAATCCTATGTAAAAGGTAGACATTTATATACATTTATATCGAATCGATTCGAAATTCTCAACAGTTGAAGTCTAAAATCTGTTACACCCATTACTCACTGTTCATTCATTGGTCACGACCTACACTCATTTTCACTCATACTTTATCTTTTATTAACCCGTATCTATCTACAGACAAGCCCTTTCGTACTTTGTACTGAAAATTGGGAAGTACAAATTTAACCGCTAATCCAAATCTGCTGTGTGTGAAGTTTGGTCCGAAATGTTGATGGTTGTCATATAGTGATTGAAAACTTTTCAGACTTCATGGATAAGTGTTTAATCAAATTTATGAGAGAACATGGGGAAAAAATATCAATGAACAAAAGATTTTCAAGAACTGTGTGATCATCACAGAATGAATTCAGTGAAATGGGTCTCAACGGAGGACGTAGAGAAGTGGAGGAAATGTACATGTGAGGGTCAAATAATCTGGTTAGTTGCGGATGCCCGCATCGATGCGGACGATTGGTCCTTCCACTGGAATTGAAGTATGGAAATGAAGGGCAGTTGCTGAAAACCGACACTCTAAACCCTTTACACTATCTCCACCTCTGTGCATATAGTTCACTTTGGTTCATTCTCCCTCTCACTTTCACCACGCACAGATATTTCATCTCTCACTTTGTCACAGTCCGCGCGTTGTTATACAATCCAACGCGTTTGGATATGTACGCGTTCCTGACAATTAACTAACGAGAGATTGACACAACTTATTAAATGATGTACGCGTCACGGATCTCAGCGTCCACCAATTTGGACTTCTCTTCCGTGCTGATACATTAAAATAAATTTTTTATATATAATTTAAGGAGTAGTATCGATGCAAAATAACTTTAAAAAATTCATACACTTGCACTCACTGTATTCGTGATGTCACTAGTATTTTTTCTAACTAGGAGAATGTTATCGTATCTTCCCCCATGCGTTCCAATTAAAGAAAAATACATGTCTCCTATAACAAGCGTGAATTTAAACGAAATTGAAAACACACATTCAATTTTCAGAGTCTTCAGATTTTTTTAACAACGTTAACTATAGCTGTCTATAGAGAGTGCAATCATCAACCTTCTTTGTTAAGAAGATTTTTGGAATATGCGGTTTCGCTGGTTCAGATAATTACATTTCCGATGCTATACTAGCCATGTGCGCCGTGTTCCACCGGGAACTAGATAGAAGAAGAGTTTAATCAAGTTACATGAAAATCACGGTGGAACCAGATAACTGTTCGAATTTCCCCAAGGTTTTTTCTTTTTCTACCGCGATTTCCGTAAAAGTCCACTCAACGTTTCTCTCCTCTACCTTTGGATAATATAAAGCATACTAAATTTTATACTTTCTATTCATACTTAATGTACCACAGCATAATACGAGTGTTACTGCTTCAACAGTACTTCTATAGTTACGATATTTCATATACGAAAATCGTAATGAAATTCACCCCATAATATTTCTATTAATATTCCGAGGCCTATTACGCAGTTCAATACTAGGAAGACAATTCCGAATGATTACATAGTAATTACATATGTCTACGAACAAGTAAAAAATTACGACCATATTATGGATTGTGCTCACAGGCAGACGTGCGCCCGTTTGGCGGTATGCATTTACACAAATTTCTATGAACCATAAATACACATGTAATGATATAGAATATAATGATATCTACTTAAATGTCTTGTGTTATAATATGATACAGAATTATTTGCCTTTTCAATTGATCAATTTGAAAAATTATTGTTTTCATCTCAATAATACGGACGTAGTAGCTTTCAATTCAGCTATTCTGTTTCGAACGCGATTGCACAGTTCCAATTAATTTAATTTGTAGTAGACTGAAGACATAGACCAGGAAAAAATCCCCACACATCCAGAACGTGTTGAAACCTACCCGACTTAATAGAACATTGGTCTATTTTTTCTGTGGTTTATTTCTATATTTTTTAAACTACTTACATAGAGAAAAACATTGGTAAAATTAATCAATACATCCCCGAAGCATTGCCCTTTTCTACATATTAATGACAATCGTTTGCCTCTATGCTCACAGTCTTCACTTCAACTTTTGAAACCGCTTATATGTGGTATCGTAGTGTTGTTTGTGTTTTGAGTTTTGAGGGAGCATATTATTTTTTGTTCCTAATGAAGCCCAACTTCAAAATTACAAGGGACTATAATTTCTTGACATGTATTGCTCGATAAATTGAACAATTTCTGAACAAAGCTCTGGCACGAATAGAGGAACATCCGCAGTACAGTTACAATGTAACAGAATTATAAGTAAACGAATATATCGATAATTAGTTACAAATTAACGTAGAACAAACGACGATAAAATTTCAAAAAAGAAAGTAGGACCTGCATCTTCTGCATAACAATGCGAAATTGCGAGCTGGCGCAGCACCAACACTACTGACGAGCTTGGCCAATGCGGTAAAAAGAGATACAGAGGAAGGGAGAAACTCGGTTTCATAGATAACCACAACCCCTAGCGGCTCTCTATTCTGTCACGCATTATCACCCTCCTCCATCCATTGGCGTCGATATGTAATATTTCTGGGAGACTGAGTTTACGCTTATCTTTACAAACATTCTCATGACACTCAAACCATTCGGTCTCATCTCCATGTTTCAATTAAAATTTTTTCATATTTTCAAAATATTATTGATATTAAAAACATTCGTGTTTGACGAAGTTGGTAAGACGATGGGTTTAAGATGTTCTGCACCCGTTTAGCCTAAATTTCCAGTTTTCTTAGTTTCTTGACAAATTGCAGATCGGAGTGACTGGAAAAATATACGATTTTTGCATTTTATAATTATTTCACGACTCACGAAGTTTCCTGAGCATACTATAATTCTCCTGCGTTTCTTCGAAATCCAAAAGTTAAGAAAAAATGCAAGAAAATTGCTGCACGATCATGACATTTTAGGAGTCCTTAAATAATAAAGTGCGATAACGGCATGCTTTTTACCGTCAATCAGATAAACAGTTTGTCAAAAACCTAAAGAACTATGCATACTGATTCGAAGGCCACAACATTTCCAACACAGAAGCGATTCCAAGACGATAACAACCAAGGGATAAGGGATATTCAAGAATAATCTAAAAAAAGAGACAGTGGAATATTCATTGGAATAAGGATGAGACTCTCTAACGACCTAGAAGAATTTCAACAACGCATTCGATTGACATCTTTATTATAATACAACTTAATAAATAAAAAAACTTGGCGACCATCAGAACGCAGTCTCATGAAACACAGGTGGTTTGTAGGAAGACGTGCTCCATATGATGATAATGACAATTTCATTGAACCCTCATTTTATTCATTTGGCAGTTACGTCGAATTGTTGTTTTTCTTCAATTTCTCCATTCAGAGTTGTTAGGTGATCAAACAGAAATAAATTTACAAGATCGTATCTTCACATATTAGCTGAGAGGCATTGAATTCATAGTAAATACAGTTGAAAACATACACCGCAAAAGCATCCACTGGTGATGATGTACCAGTATCCGACCATCAATTACAGGTCAGACCATAATGGGTGAGAATCGGGTGTCGAAATTAATGAGCCTATCAATGCATGTAGCATAATCTCTCCCTAATTTCAGCACTTGAATTTATAATAATGATTTCGTTATCTATGAATAGTTAACTGAAACGCTTGAAATAAAGATTGTTGGTAATTGCTATGATATTGCAATGATTGAAGCTAATATATTTACAACCGTTCTCCATCAACCCTCCTATTGAAGTAGTTAGATGGACTTGAATGGATTAACGATCCCCCATAACAAAAATTACTGAAAAACATAATTCTCCAATTTTTAAAAAGCCAAATGAATTTGTGGCGGGTTAGATAGGAATTGCTCATTTCATAGAACTTAGTTGATGTTAGTGATGAAATATAGAACAACAGGAGAAGCAGGGGTTGTAAGATTGGCCGCCGTTGATAGAATCTGGATGAGGTACATTTGAGAGAGAAACCATTCTTCGGACATAGGACACTACTGTCATCGGGGCAGAAAGCCGCCAGCTCCCACCAAGGGAGATGGATAGATGGATGGATAGATAGAGGGTGAGAGCATTGTCTACAACTGGCATCTAACACGGGGGCCGCATCGCATTGTGTTATGTGGATCTCTCCACGCCATTTCCATAGCTACTGTACGGTTCTTCGTTTACAGGGGTTGGGATTCCAGAATCATATCCTCCCAACCCCGTTAGACGAATGCGAAAGAGGAATAGGTGGAGGGACAGAGCTTCACTTGAGTGACGTGTGTAGCACGTAATCCGGCGTAGTCAAGTCAGGCTGTCAATATCGTAGAGACTCTCTGCACGCTTACTAGCCTTCTAAATTGTGTATTTGCTTAGGGTGTTAAGTGGTGTACAGGTCGATACACACATCATGTGCTTTCAGTAAGCCATGCATGGAGAGATGAATGAAACACATACAGATATGTTATCTTCAATTCAATTCAATTATCGTCAGATTATGAGAAAATGGCGGTCTCGGTAATTCTAAGCGGTTTTCAGTTGGCTTATCGCAAAACTCGTATAGATATAAATTATCATTGTAAGAAAGGGCTAACGAAAAAAATCATAACATTACCAGTAGTGAAGAGAACGATGGCTTTGAGACAACTGTACTCAGCGGAATCCACGTGAAGTGCTTTCAGCTTCTCCACCTGTTCTTGGAAAATCCTTATGTGATCCATAAAAGCAACGACTCGATCAGCAGCCATTGGTGAAGCATGAAGGCCAGCTGCAGCGAGTAGTGGTGCAACATGTAGGGGCATTGAGCACTGACTTGCATTTAGGACGAATAATTCACTCCAGACTAACCTGAGTAGTGCCACTTGGTCAGTGACTGTGAGATCAGGAAAAAATGGTATACCTCTTGCCCATTCCACGGCAGAAAAAAGCAGTCTAGCTGCCAGTTCACAGATATTGTCAATACCCATGATGTTATTTGGTTGCATACACTGACCATATCTGGTTGTCGGATAGGGCTCAGCACGTAGCAGAAGGCTTATATATGAAGAAAGATATGAATGGCCATTTAAACTAGCACAAGCAACAGCATCACCATTCGCCAGTGTGAACTGTCCCGGTAGGCCCGACATAGAGGGCTGGGACGGTGGTACTCTGCCCCTCTGAACCGCTGTAACAAAAATATAAAAAATTCGTCAAGAAAATGTCATATTAAATTAGTTTTTGGATACTTGCACAATGAATATCAAAGATCCATGATCAATCTGCTAGCTAATCATACTAGTCACATTTCTAACTGGTCGATCAAATTTCATTTCATTTCATTTCTCATTTCATTTTTCATTATTTATTGAAGCCTTTGATGATTAATTGAGATATACTTAAGATATAATGGGCTACAATGAGCAGAGAGCTTTGATAGTTAAATAGAGAAAAAATTAGTGAGGTCGACTGAGGTCTCTTGCCAACGTCTTGTGGAGAGACGGTACTGGATGCCGCCCCGCTGTGCGCGCACGGAGAATTTTCTCTCTCCGAATTCCAGGGTAGATATGTTTCGCAGTTAACGAGTGAACTGATAGACGGGTGGACACGCGAGACTCTAAATGCTTAATTCTTTCCAACATGCTGGATGAAGTACATGTAGCCATCCACATAACATTTCCTTTCGTTCTCCGCCTAGTTCGAAGCCTTCTTCTCAAATCCACTTGAATTCTGCACACATGCCAGTCAAATCATAAACGGAGGTAGGTTCACTGAATATACGATCGGCCCGTGAATTTTGATAAATTCTCCCTTTGGCGATGTACAAAACGATAATGAGAAAAGAAAATTATGATGATGCAATTACTGATAGGGGGAAAGCTCTAAAACTCTCTAGAGTGGAAGTAATCTTAGTTTCCATCTGAAAGGGCATGCAGCAGGTATACATATAGTAGAGCCGCGTATGCGGATTCCACACCGTTAGTTTAGTCGATCCCTGAGAGCCATGAGACCGAAACTTTCACCTACTGTACAATCAAATTCTTATGGACTTCAGTATCATCCAATTTGCCATAGATACTTTAAAATGAATTTTTCTTTGATTGGACTCAAGGTGCAATAACAGATAGCCAACCGACTGTTTTTAGAGTGGGTATGTGTGTCCGTTTGGTAGACGCGTTGTGTCGTAGCCGTTCGGCAGAAATTTGTCGACCGCGTAATAAAAGTTATCTAGCCGTTTGAGAAAAATTACCAAACAGTCTGGTAGTTTTTTCTTCAACGATTGGATAACAGTTACTCAGCGTTTGAAAAATTTTACTAAGCGATACGGTAATTTTTATCGAACGGCTTAAGCACAACACCATTACCAAACGGTTAGGCAATTTTTGCTCAGTCTTTCTCTCCGTGTAGTTGATGAAACCCGGATCAATGGTAAATGTCCGTTGAATTGTTTTTCAGATATGGAGATTTTTTTATATCAATATTTCTGAATATTTTAGAAATTGCTACATCACGTTTATTTTCTCCCAAAATATGGATGAAACTGATTTTATCACATGCCAATGGAAACGGTTCAATTCTATCGTCCAGATTTGCATTCCAACTCCACCCCAAAGTCATTTCATCTCAAACAAAGATATCCTGCTATCCTTATTTTGTTTTGCATGTGCATTAATATGAACGTTGATCTCTGCTCGTGTGATCAACGAATATTCATTAACGCATTTCATTACTCATTTCATAATTCTTTTCTATAACATTCATCAGTAATTTGTTGTTTGACATATTTTTGTTTCAGAGTGATAATATATTTAATGGGATTAGACTTTACGCTGTCAATATAAATCTGACTCATAAGCATCTTTACAAATGGTTTTTATTTTAATTGTATATTCACTTACATTTTTATTTGTGGAATACTTTTTCGTACCATTTCTAGGACAAATTAATTTTGAGATGAGTTGATTTGGGATAGGTGGGCTGAGATATATTAACCTCAAACCGAATATAACTATTCTGCAATTAAATAGTATATTATCCATCAAGGGGGTTTTGTTTTTTTACGCGTATGTATATAAAATTTTACGCGTATTATATATCAAATTAACGCCCGAGTGGCGTACGTTATTTTACATTTCAGAGTGCATCAACTGGCGAAATACACGCGACGAGCGAAGCTGTAATCGGCCAGCTAATACACGCTGAAGTGTAATAGTATATTATGCAACACGTGCGTAATATATTTTTTTACTCGTGGGAGGTTTGTAACACGAGCCGAAGGCGAGTTTTACAATCCCACGAGTCGAAAAATATATTACGCACGCGTTTCATACAAAATTATTCTATATGACCAGCCTTCTCATCTGTGGTATAATCTCATGGAAACGTTATCCGATTATATACAATTATCGACTACTGAACAATACTATTTGCCTACAGATAACTTGAAAAACTTTTATTTCTACACTAGCGCCGCCGTTAATGACATTCTCATCACATGTCAGTTCAGGGGTCCCGTTCGATTATCGAATCGAATGAAAAATGATCGATTATCCCCATGAGATCCGCCATGTTCGATTAGTGACCCATCTCTTCTATTATACTAGCGCCGCCCACCCCATTAAATGTGTGTATAGTATAGTGTGATGAGGTGACGATGCGATGTATGGTAGAGATGTCGCTTTCGATTATCGCAGTTGAACGATTATCGATATTCAATGTCAATTCGAGATATCCATGTATTTTTTATATAAGGATTATCGATATTCAATGTCAATTCGAGATATCCATGTATTTTTTATATAAGGACTAGCGCCGCCGCGGCCGCAAGCGGCCGCGCCGTTGATGCAATTCTCCATGTCAATTCTCATGGAACTACTCGTGTGGATTCACCCTGAATAAATGCACAGTGCCCCATGAGCATTGCGCCATGACACTTGTGGTGGGCGCCATGACAGTAGTGCTCTGCTGTTTTTAATAGGATAGGATAATATAGAATACTTCTGTCGTCACAGATGTTTACCAAAAAAATTAGCAATGTACTGAACACCCCAAAATCAGATCATATGGTAGTGGGGGTGCTAAAATCAGAGTCTGTAAGTTTCCCAGAGAATTAAGCCTGTCTACCAAACAGTATTTTTGGTCTCCACGAAGCAAAAATACATGAATTGAATATATTTTATACTTGATTCAAATATTTATTTTTTTCCTTGGGGAAGTAGCGCGATGCTGCGGCCCACAAACCCGGCGCACATACTGAATAACAATAGTATATTACACTTCACGGAGGTTATAGTAATTTAAATGCTCCAAAGGCTGAAAAATATTTTGGGAACGTATTTCATCAGAACCTGCGCCAAAGGCACGGTTATTGTCATCAAATATGTTATTAAAATACTTTTCAGACCGAGTAGCATATGTTACTTTATATTACAAGGCCCGACTAACCGAGTATTTTTGTCGCCCTGGAGAGGTAAATTAAAGGTAAGGTGGTAAGCAGTCACTTACCTTCCTACAGCAATAAATCCATGAGGTTAGGCGGGTCAGTAATATAAATTTTTTTTTACGCGTCTGAGCTTTAGAAACCGAGGCTTGTTATTGCACGCGTGTAAAAAAAAACCTTACGCCCGAATGGCGTCCGTTTTTTTATGTTACAGAGTACAGGAACCAGCCAATTGCACGCTCCCGGTGTGTAATTGGCGAGTTATTGCACGCTGAGGTGTAATAGTATATTATGCACCCCCCGGGAGAAAATGCTATTCGACCGTGATGCATATGTTACTTTATGTCCCAAGGGATAAAAAGCGCGATCGAACCGAGCGAAGTGAGGTTATGTCATTGGGCCCAAAATTCGTGATTCTGGCGAGGCAAGTGAAGTTAGAATCACGTGATGACAGGCACCTATGACATAAAAAATATTGTTCGTCACTCGGCGGTCACACTACGCTCTGCGTCAGTATATATAGCCATTAACCACTATTTATATATTTGTCGAAAGTCACTTACAAAAGACAGTTGATCTTATGTATGCACTAGATTTGATTGTAGAATTTAAAATAATGATCATTCCCTTTTCTAATTTCATGTCATTTCATTTCATGTTTTATTATCAGGGAGTAGTTTCTAACGCTATTTATTCAAGAGGTACGTCCAGGGACACTCCCCAGAAACTAAACCAATAACTTTAGGACCTTTAGGGCAACAAGAGTTCCACCCCCTCAAAGGGGTTATTTCTTTCTCCCCTTGACGACTTCTGGCCTAAAAAAGGCCCTAGCTTGGTTCCGTTACGAACGCGTTTTCGGCCACAATGACATAAAATAGCATCATTGCCACGGCGAAAAAAGTGATTCTCACTTATGCTCTTAATAATCGTCACCAGTGGGCCGCACTATGAAGCCACACTTTTCAGAGTCACCTTCCGTCCTAGGAGTGAAAAATACTATTACTATGTAAGTCGTAATGTATTAGTCTAAAATTTTTAATTTTCAATAGATTCTTTTGCTATTGTTTCCCGGTCTGCCACTGGGTATAGGATTGTTTCTCCCCTATTTCCAATCACTTGATAATTACACAAACGGATTGTGTTCGGCTTGCTAAAAAATATCTCAATCACGCAATTTAAAAAGTCCGAGAGAAAATATTTCCGAATTCACTTTTATCTCACTATAATTTCCTTTGCTTTCGTTTAAATTCTTCCGACTGCGTTCAAAAAAATTTTGTTACGTGCACTTACGCGCTTGCCGTCTTTGCCTTTTGCTCCGTCAATCTCGCATGTGGGGAGGGATGATCTGTTTTCGACGGGTGGGCCTGAAATAGTACATTGTGCACCAATGTAGGGAAACAGGATATTCGAACCCACGTGTTTACCACCCTTGGCTCCACTTCGGATTGGTAATACACACGCGGGTTAGAAGGCCGTGTTTTCCTCCCTGAAGGAAAAGAGAATAAGGAAGGAGAAATGAAAGAATGAAAGATGAATACGTGAAGTCACTGGACTACTCCCTCTCCAGCAGCCAGCACCTCAGGTAAGATTTGAAGGCCTCGGGCAAGGCTTGGTCTCTAATAGAAACTGGGAGGCCATTCCAGATCACAGCATCAGCTCCTAAAACTTGGCACCACCAGAGCCTGCTGGGCCTGCGGCTGCCGCCGCGGTCGAGCTGAGGTGTATGCAGCAAAGAGCTCCGCTAGATA